TAATCGAGAGTTTTAGCATCCCAATCCAAACCACACCTGGGACACAGGAAGCTAACCCCGCTCTCTTGTACTTTTTATTCCCAACAATCCACCCCAAGCGACACTTCCTGCATTGGAACAAAATGCTGCCGCAGTTACATTTCCTCCAAAACAAATTTGCCAGAGCAAATTAGTTGTGCTTGAATGTAATTTGTAGAGGACATGGTTTCATGTTTGTGGTGAGGTTTCTGACCTCAGACTCTCATTCCATGTTTGTTTGTAATCCGGATGCCTGTTTCCCTGAATTTCCTCCTCAGTATTATCTAATGCTGATCCTCTCCCCTGGTGGCTGCTGGGAGTCTCTGCCGCGACTGTGTGTGTGACAGACAGACGGACAGACAGAGAGACAGACAGACAAGAGTGTGTTTAGAGTATAAACACACTCGCTGGACAGAAAACACACAAAACAGAGGAGCAGAAGTTACAGAACATTTCTGTTTATAGTTCCCCCCCTGGCCTCCGCACTCTGGATATGCCTCCACATGGGACTCTGTGCATGTGTGTGCTTGTGTGTGTGTGTTCCTGTGGTTACTGTGGTGAATGGTCTGCTAACAACAAGGTAATCGCAGGGACTGACCAGGGGGAATCCACCCGGACTTCCGTTCAGGTGTGTGTGTGAGTGTGTGTGTGTTTTCTAGTTGCGTGTGAGGTCCCACAGTCTTCGCACTAAGGACACATTATTAAATTCTTCCACAGTCGAGGACTTTTTGCCACTTCAGGCTAGTTTAGGATTTCCATTTGTTCTTGGATTGAGTAAAAGTTCATGTATAGTTTAACCAGTGACACACACTGGTGGAAAGACACACTCCTCTCTGTTCTCTCTGTGGAACGCTCAACTGCTTATTACTGAAAACAAGTTAAAGTGAATGGGGCTACATGGGTATTGTTAAGATTACTACTGTTATCGATACTCCTTATCAGTTCAGTGCTCTATTGATACTCTTATCTTATCAGTTCTTGTTTATTACTAGATTGGTTTTTAGAAGTTTAGGTTAGTTTCATTCCTCACTCCCTGAGGGGCTGTTTGTCTCAGCTTGCAGCTAAGTTTACAAGAATTTGCCTGATTTTAAGATAAGTGGCAAACTATGCAAAACAGTTTATACTTGTTGAATATGTGCATTACTCTAATAAACTTTACAGTTTGGCTTTGGCTTCATACTCGCAAAGGTTTTTTTTGCAGCTGCAAACTGCAGTCGTCATCAACTCGAGTCTCTTCACAGTAGCCTTTCTGCTCTGTTGTGCTCTGGGGGGCACCCAGTAGCTCACTTGTACCCCTTTTTCGGCAGTTACGGGTCGGCTTGGCTTGATTTGGTTTGGTGTGGGCCATCAGCCCAGCACAGCAGGGATTTGCTTTCATTACAACAAGGCTACCGTCTTGAAGGTGTGTCTTAAACTGATGATGGCTTGTCTTGAGTGATGACGTTAAAAAAGCAGAGTGCTGATCCACAGCTAAGTCTCCTGTTATTTTTGCCACATGTTTTCCCACAGCAGGGCAGGTAAAAGAAGTTTACCTGTTGGAGGTGAGCTGTTTGCAGAGGTGCAGTAAGAGCCTGCTGTCTGCAGCTCTTCGTCAACATCTCACTGTGGCTGTTTCTGCTTTCACTTTCCTTCCTTATCCTTCATTATTACACTTGTCTCTATTGAAGAAAAGCCACTGAGATAGTTCCACTAATGCAGTGATAAACACATTTGATTTCTTATAGATTTTTCACAATAAAAGTCAGTCGTTATTTTGTTCTGTATAAACTTTTATTGTGAAGCAGCAAAATAAGGAAATGTTGAGTTTTCAAACAGCAACTTCACACAACTTCTAATACAGCTGATAGCGAACTTGAAACAGTAAAATAAAGCAGATATCTAAAGTAAAAAGAGGACGCAGGAGCGAAACTAAACTCCAAACCACAGAGATTCAGTTAGAAGCTACAAAAGTACAGAGACTTTTAAAACGCCTTTCTCTCTGGTCTCCTGCAGACAGAGGTGAGTAGAGTCTCGCAACACACACACTTGTTTGGAGAAGTGGAGTCGTTAGAGTTGGCTGTGGTTGGCAAGACGTCACCGCTACCTGCCTGAGGGCAGGTGGCCTGGCTTTTGGACCTACTCTTGAGAAGGTCCATCGGCGGTGTAGCTTAGTGTGGCATGGAGCATCTAAACTGACAATGGAAACACAAATCGGTGCAGCATGGCCAACAGTGACTATGGGAAAAGGGTACTAGTAGAGCTGGCACCCCATGTACAAAGGCTATGTCCTTGCCGCAGCAGCCATGGGCCATGGGACCCTCTACCAATTGTTTCTTTCCTTGGGCCATCAGAACTCCTGACTCCACCAACACAGACACCATAGAAAACTACCATAATCTGTCTTGAATTAATTGCACTGACCAGGAGTAGCACTCCTAATTTCATTGTACTTGGACAATGGCAATAAAGGCTTTCTATTCTATCTATCTAATCTTCTTCCTCCTGGAATGCTGCTCACAGTCTGGCACCTGGCCGCTATTGTAGAAAGTCCCAACCTTACCTGTGCGCTTTTCCCATAGATTGTATAATAAGGATGGACGACATGACAGCAGCTGGTATGCAGTATAGGTCATAAACCCGCCTGCTCCATGTTAGCAGATGGGACATGGGCCAAACTAAAACATCAAAGTACACATCAAATAAATTCTTACAGAAGATTGTTTCTGTTTTCAGGTAGTTCTTATCATGCTGATGTATATTTAAGAGTTCATTTTTCTCGTAAGTTTGGTTTTTATTAGTTGTTCGATGCTATACAAAGAGCGTTTGATGTCATGATTGACAGCTACGTGTGCTAATCTATGTGCTTGGGATCAAATGATTTGTCAGACAGGTGTTTAGGTGGAAACTTGATCCTGTGGGGATCGCTACTGCGCCGACTTTGGCTCCAAATGACATCACCAGCAGGCGAATCTGGGATATTTTGGCTTTGTTTGACATGTTGTCCATCTTTATAGTCAGTGGCTGTGCCCAGGAATGTCCTGAGCACAGCTAAATAAAAAGAAAATAAGATTGAAGCAGAAGGCAGAGTCTCTGCCACACACTCGTAGTGGGACATAAGTAATAATTGAGAAAGATTACTTCTGTATTTGAAACAATAAAACTGTCCAGGCTGTAAAACCACCAGAACATTGTGGACAAACATCCACTCAGATTATAAACAAATAGATCTTACTGCTGAGCTTGGTCCACGGACCAAAGAAAACATACAACACACTGAATCACTAAATATTTTTCCTGTTTGCTTTGTTAAGTATTTTTATCTTTGTACTTTAAATAAATTGTGGCTGCAGAAACTAAACACATGCTAAAATGTCCCTCTGACATTTTAAACCATTACTATCTGCTGTATGCTTCAGGGTTGTTGTTTTTTTCACCCCATGTCTCCCTCCTCTTCCTCCCTCTTCACACAGGACTTAACTGCCTACCTTGAGAAGAATGTCGACAGTAGTTCCCAGTCGCTTTTTTTTTCATTTCCCATGCCTCCTTCCTTCTCTGTTCCCACTGACTCTGCCACAGAAACTCCTCTCTGCTTTTATACAACTGTGCCTTGACCTTAACTTTTCCTCCTGACCTTTTCTTACAATATCAATCAAATCTGTTTTTATTTGATTATTTGACTTTTTTTGCTATCTTATGTTTGGGCTTTGATTTGTTTTATTCTTACTGTGCAAGTCCGTGTGGTAATAGATGTCCTGACATCCGAGACAGATTAAAGTCAGTGGGAAAACCCTGTAGGATGGCCTACTTATTGTGCAACTGTGAGATTAAAAGAATTAACAAAATCAATCACGCATGAATCAATACGTTTAAAAAAAAAAGTCAATAAGGCTTATAAAAGATTGCTAGTGTGTCCCAACCTACTACAGTAGGGGCGGGAGAGAAAATCAATACAGCAAACTACTGAAATATTTTGCTTTGCAATATCTAATTGATACACAGATGCCTATATCAGTTTAAAATTATATAAATTATTAATATTGCAAATACAAATTAAACTTTTAGTAGCGTACTAGAAGAATAAAATCAAGGACTTTTTCAGGCCACCAGATACATTTTACTGCAATAAAAATGATTGAAAGGAGATGAACAGACTGAAAACTTCATCTTACAGATGCTGACAAAGTTTTCCTTTGGGGACATAATTTGCGGTTGTAAATCACAATTTTCTGGCTCAGTGAACACAATAAGAGGAAGTCCACACAAAAGATTTAGTTAAAACAAGCATAATTTATTAACAATGGAGTGTGTAAATCAGCAAATTCAGTAGTGACAGCCGTGCATGGATGTGTGTCAAGTGTGCTGTAGAGGTGTTGCAGGTGCAAAAGGTGCAGAGCCGCTGGTTAACACCTACCTGGGGCAGCTTTTTTTAGCCTGGAAGGCCCAAGTGAGCTTAATCAAGGCAATTGTAAAATATCATTTTGTAAATCTAAATCTGGACAATCATCTTTTTCCATTAAAGGCTGTCAACTGTGATTTAAAATCCTTCACAACAAAGTTTAAAGGCTGGCGAAAAGCAAACCAGAGCTGTACCCATTCTTAGCTAAATGTGCTCAAACTTTTAAAGGGTATTAGTGTAAGTGTTTTGGCGTATTGTGCTATGTGTACTTAAGTATATGTATTGTGGGTTGTTTACTCTGTACTGGAACTATGATAAATTGCATCGTCCCTATCAAAATAAAAAACAAACAAACACTATACATGTTCTTGCAATACCCAGCATCCCAAATGTTTAATATTGCAACAATATCGTATCGTGGCCCCTGCCTCTGGTGACTCCCACCCCTAATATAGAGACGTAATTACAGAGTGTAAATACATGGCACATGTGTAGAAAAAAAGCTAAATAAACTAAAAATGGGGTGCAATTTCATGAAAATTAAAAGGACGAGACATTTATCAGTATTGGGCTTGTTAAAGTTGACTTAAGTCTGTCTCTTTTTCAGATTGTCCTTCCTGCCAAACCGGAGCTACAGCGACAACGGTCGGACGATACTGGCCAATGACCAGGAGTCCCAGGACTCTCTTGGACCACTATGAGGGTGTCTTAACAGAGCTGTGACACCATCAGCTGATGAGGGGGACTAAGAGATGGAGACTTCTCGACCTCTGTGATCTCAACAGGTGGCTGTGAGCTGACCTGGCCTGAGGAGGTTGTCTTTGGAAATGCACTCTATGATCCAGCATCATCATATGACTTTCTTTAAAACGTATGTTGATGCTGTCCAGAGTTAGAGGCACTGTTGCTGAGCATCAGACCAGCACAGAAGGTCAGATCTGAGTGACTCAAAATGAGAAAAAAATGAACCATGTTGGTGCAGAGCTGAAGTATTGAGTGCTTACGGACTGAAACACACTGCCAATATGTCTCCAGGTTCTCCAAAACCCAAAGAGTGTTTATTCTCAGTCGAAACATCCGGATCACAGGACGTGAGTCAACATCGTGCACCACAGAAAACCACAGCAGACTACAAGCCAAACTTTGGTTAACATGGTTGGCGACGCAAGAGGCCTCTTCTGCTTTTTAACCTCTGTGATGACATCATAGTTGTAACTACCAGCTGGTCACACAGGTGACTGCAGGTCTCATTAAGTCCAGTTTATTGTTTGTATTCTTGTTTTTTACCAGCATCAACTGCACTCTGAAACTGCTGAATGTAATGTCAAAAGTGGATGTTTTTTTATTCATATCCTTCATGTCATATTCCATTTTGAAACAGTTACAAACAAACACCAAAGGCTGAGGACTTCACAGTCAGTTTGTGATGAAATACAGCATCATACAAACAGTTCTGTCATTGATCGTTGTGATGAAACACTTGCCTAAACCTTTCATGGCACATAAAATATTGTTGCACTTACCTCTGTGTTGAATTGTGTTGCATCTTTGTTCACACCCAGCTGTGATGTTGTTGTGGTAGTACAGCTCTACATCACTGCAGCATGGGAGAAAGCTTAACTGCCAATGTTCACATCACTCTTCCTGGAGGGAGCGATTAGGACATATGTAGGAATTTACTAGGGGGAAGGCTTCACAATGGGGAAGAAAGGTGATTTCAGTAACTTTGAACGTGGCATGGTTGTTTGTGCCAGATGGGCTGGTCTGTTGGGATTTCACACAGATTTCCTGTCAGCTAAGAACAGGAGACTGAGGCTCACCAAAACTGGACAATAGAAGATTGGAAAAACGTTGCCTGGTCTGATGAGTCTGGATTTCTGCTGCCACATTCAGATGGTAGGGTCAGAATTTGGTGTGAACAACATGACAGCATGGATCCATCCTGCCTTGTATCAACGGTTCAGGCTGCTGGTGGTGGTGTAATGGTGTGGGGGAGATTTTCTTGGCACACTTTGGGCCCCTTAGTACCAACTGAGCATGGTTTAAACACCACAGCCTACCTGAGTATTGTTGCTGACCGTGTCCATCCCTTTATGACCACAGTGTACCCATCTTCTGATGGCTACTTCCAGCAGGATAACGCACCATGTCACAAAGCTCAAATCATCTCAAACTGGTTTCTTGAACATGACAATGAGTTCACTGTACTCCAATGGCCTCCACAGTCACCAGATCTCAATCCAATAGAGCACCTTTGGGATGTGGTGGAACGGGAGATCCACATCATGGATGTGCAGCCGACAAATCTGCAGCAACTGTGTGATGCTATCATGTCAATATGGACCAAAATCTCTGAGGAATGTTTCCAGCACCTTGTTGAATCTATGACACAAAGAATTAAGGAAGTTCTGGTCCAACAAGCAAGGTATACCTAATAAAGTGGCCAGTGAGTATATTGTAATTCTGTAGCTGCAGATCAAATATTTCTTTCTCTTGCAGGACCCACACAGTGAAACATGAACCTGCAGCTGGATGAAAACAGCTGGAAAGCACCATGATGAGGCTGAGGAGACAAACCCTTCTAAAGAAAATGATCCTGAAGATGGATACCTTTGATCCTCAAATCTAAATAACACTTCATATTTATGATTAAATATATCCAACAATCAGTTTTGTAAACATTTTGGCAAACAATATGAATATGTTCCTCATTAAACATGATAAGCACATTGAGGCCAAGGTGAATATGAAGGTCTGATGTCTCTCAAATGACGAGATTTGTCTGAGTCTTTGATGGTTCGACTGTTTTACTGCTGCATTAAGTGGTTTATGACCACTAGAGATCACTTTTCACTCTCACTTTAGCTCTGATTTGGTCTCTATTTTCTATCATTTTCTAGCTATTAGTTTTGGCTCCCTGCAGTTTTGTGTCTGGCATGTAGCGTATTCTAAGAGCGAGTTCACTTACAGGAGGCCTGTGAGAGCCAGGGCTTGGAAAAAACAAAATAATGAACAAACAGTGGCCAAAAGCTGCTAAATACAGCTAAAATCGATGAGGAACTGCAGAGCTGGCTGTTCCTCTCACTGGGTTTGTCAGCACGAGGGACCCGCTCACATTACTCAGCCATGTGATTTGAAGGTAGATTCAAAAATGTCCTTATTACAGATTTAATTCTCTGATGTTTGATGCTGAGTTTATATATTTAAATTCAGTCTGTCTCAATCTGTCTGTCTATCACAACACATTCAGGAGATCGACACACAGAGGTGTGATACCAGCCGCCTACACTCTGTCATCACATTTTCATTTCAGTGTCTCTCTGCATCTCAGCCTCAGAAAACAGCAGTTAACTCATCATCTTGCATTTTTATTTTCAATACGCAACCACAAAGTCCAGTTTCAAAGGTGACGAGCTGAATGAATGTCTTGTTACAGTGTGACAACTTTTAATAGCTCACTCTGCCCTTTATTGTTTGTGATGGAGATGATAAATAAACAGAATTTAACAATGATTTAGTCTAAATACATTTATATCAGCTTTATCAAATGTGGCAAGTCTTTTGAGCCATACAAATGTCTCCAGATCCTGACGTTAGTGCCGTGTTAGATCAGCGTTGGTAGAGTAATGCAGTTACAGCTCATTAAACCTGCATGAATTTACTTGGCAGGATCGCAACAAGCACAACAATGTATCCAATGAGCTGCAGTTCTCTGGGTAGAAATGCCTTGTTGATGCCAGAGGTCAGAGGAGAATGGCCAGACTGGTTCAAGATGATAGAAAGGCAACAGTAACTCAAATAACCACTGGTTACAACCAAGGTCTGCAGAAGACCATCTCTGAACCAACAACACGTCCAACCTTGAAGCAGATGGGCTACAGCAGCAGAAGACCACACCAGGTGCCACTCCTGTCAGCTAACAACAGGAAACTGAGGCTACAATTCACACAGGCTCACCAAAACTGGACAATAGAAGATTGGAAAAACATTGCCTGGTCTGATGAGTCTGGATTTCTGCTGCCACATTCAGATGGTAGGGTCAGAATTTGGTGTAAACAACATGAAAGCATGGATCCATCCTGCCTTGTATCAACGGTTCAGGCTGCTGGTGGTGGTGTAATGGTGTGGGGGATATTTTCTTGGCACACTTTGGACCCCTTAGTAGTGATGGCCTCATGAAGCCTCATGAAGCATTTTCTTTATTTTCTGAGCCCACTAGATGGCACTCTTGGTTTAAAGAGAGAGTCTCAAAGAATGGCAATTCAGTGTGTTTTAAACCTTTTGTTGAACAAAAAGCGCCATCTAGTGGGCTCAGAAATAAAGAAAATGCTTCATGAGGCTTCATCTGGCCATCACTACCCCTTAGTACCAACTGAGCATGGTTTAAACACCACAGCCTACCTGAGTATTGTTGCTGACAGTGTCCATCCCTTTATGACCACAGTGTACCCATCTTCTGATGGCTACTTCCAGCAGGATAATGCACCATGTCACAAAGCTCAAATCATCTCAAACTGCTTTCTTGAACATGACAATGAGTTCACTGTACTCCAATGGCCTCCACAGTCACCAGATCTCAATCCAATAGAGCACCTTTGGGATGTGGTGGAACGGGAGATTCACATCATGGATGTGCAGATGACAAATCTGAAGCAACTGTGTGATGCTATCATGTCAATATGGACCAAAATCTCTGAGGAATGTTTCCAGCACCTTGTTGAATCTATGACACCAAGAATTAAGGAAGTTCTGAAGGCAAAAGGGGTCCCACCTGGTACTAGCAAGGTGTACAGTACCTCGTAAAGTGGTATTGTTCCATATCATGACCCCCCAAAATACACTTTATGACCACCTGGAGGGTCCCAGTCTCTACTTTGAGAACCACTGCCCTGCACATGTCAAATATGGTGAGAACTTTCGACTCGTTTTTTATAAGCAAATACATTTTTCCCCCATTTTTGGCAGGTGAGTAACTATTTCAGTCTTTGCACATCCTATGTCATGGTATCCACATCATAACTTGAGCAAGACAATATGAGCATCAAGCCCAGACTAATACTATACCGTGTGGGCCTGAAACACATTTTTAACAAGCCTTTATTGCTGTTGGCGGTGGCAGACGGCAATTACACACAAAGCCCCTCGTCAGGAAGCCTATTTGGTAACAGCAAACATGATTATCCCCGATCATTCCCTTCGCCTCTGAAAACAATCTTGGACTTGATTTGCTGGGTTGATTGGTGCTGACCCCCGAGTCTGCTTGCTATTAACCAATCAGGGACAATCCAGAGGAGATTTTCATTATTCTGTGAGCCCTCTCAATACTCACTGACTCCAACACAATCTCCTCGGGTTTACTTACTGTCTAAAGCATGAAGATCTCAAGGCTTTGTCTCATAGCACAGCAGTGCCAGAGCTGGACCCAGGTTTTCTAAAAGCATCTTGGCTCGGAGATTATTCGGAAGTTAGCAGAGGAACAGAAAATTATTTTTAACCCCATATGAGACAGGGATGCCGTATTTCATCCTTCTATGGGCCGCTGGAAATTAGTCATGTTAGTTTTTGTTCCTGTGTGAATCCAGCATAATCTGCTTTTCTAAGAGATATGTCCACTGTAAAAACATTTTGCTGTAGGATTTAAAATATGATTTTTTAATAAAGTCCTTCAGGGGATTATCATTTATCGTCTTCCATGTGGAGGTAAGAGGTGAGATTTAACATCAAAGCAATAACCGTGAGCCTAGCCAGGTTCAAGGAGGCTAAAAAAAGGAGAAGTCAAAGCATCATATTATGTCATATTATTGATGTACAACACATGCGCCATTTGAGCACTTGCTAAAAGGCTAAATGGGAGGCACACAATCATAGAAAATAGGGAGATTCGTTTCATGGAGACAGTCGAAGTCAACTTTGGGTTGGAATATATTTTATATGAAAAATAAAGATGAGGAACACACGTCATTAAATCTGCAAAATGTTCTGCAATTATTGTAAAGATCTTAAATAAAAGACCATTAACAAAAGCCATAAGCTTTCTATTTAAAAACATTCTACTGTATACTGGCCACCATCCATTCGAGCATACCCAGAAAGTTCAAGAGCACCTGAGCGTTTTTTGTACCAGGCTGTAAATGTGTTCATTTTGCTGTAGAGTTGGTCGCTTTAACCTTGGTGTCTATGGGAATTTATTGGCTTCTAGAGCCAGCCTCAAGCAGCCATTTAAAGAACTGCAGTTTTTTGGCACTTGCGTGTTGTCTTCATTTTTTAGCCCTGGAGGCTGCTTGGTCATACCCCATAGATCCCATGGGGTCAGAGACCATGTCCCAGCTTCCAACAGAAAGTCTTAGCCAGGTTCAGGATTGGCTCCCATGGAGAAGCTTGAGGCCTAACCAACCAGCTAGTCCTTATCCTTTTGACCTTTTCTCTTGTAAAACCCCCCAAAATATTGTTTGAAAACACTTCTGATAAAGCAAACATCTCACCTTTGTGTCCCTCTTCCAGCTAAGTTTTCTAGCACAGTGT